AATTCGTTTACGACCAATAAAAGGAGTATATTAAGGCTCATTCTGATCTTATACCCAAATAAAATGAAATGATGATCATTCAGAACCCGTGTCGATTTGTAAATAGAGTAAAATGAGCCAAATTGTTCGGTTGATTATCCTAAATGAGTAACGATTGCAGTGCTGCGAAGAATGTGCCAAAGTCAGTATCACCGCCGTCGATAAGGTTATCACGTTCGTTTGCGCCTCAGTACTCACCAAGTCACGATACTCCATCAAAACCGCCAGCCATGTCCCATTCTCACTCATCAACTAATACTGCGTCATCGAGTAACATCATTAACAATAACAACAATAATGAACAGCTGATGTGTGTACCTCGTGCAGGTCCTTCATCTTCACAAAGCATTGCATCAGGCACATCCATAAATATACCCATCAACATCTCCGCATCAAATTCGAATTTAGATCTGAAAGCTGTTCAGAAATCGTCATCCTCAAATAAGCTTAATAAGTCATCAAGTTCGAATTTTTTCGACGCAAAGAATATGAATGCAATCACCAATAACATTAGTACTTCTACAATAAGGTACGATTCATTTCATTTGGTTTTGCTTTTGTCGATTTACTTTTACTGGATTTACTTTATCGTATTTTCTTCATCCATTGCGTAAAACCACAAATATTGTTTATTCACTTTTTCGTTGTTTATTCAGTGATTTAATTGTTTTGTTGCGTTATTGGAGTGTCTTTATTTGAGTATGCCAAACTGTTGTGGATTATGTAACGGTGATCGAATTGTATGGTTCGACAGAGATGCTATTCCAAGACACGGTACCGTTAAATGGACGGGTCGTTTGAAAGGGCATAGTAACATTTATGTTGGAGTGGATTTTGTGCGTTCTTTATTTCACTGTTCATTCAATCATTGCTTCGATTTGAATTTTGCATTTATTTAAATTTCTTATGTGAATTCCTTTTTATATGTATTGTTAGTGGTGGGTTAAGTTTGTTCCCAGTTGCTTTCGATTCGGAAATGAACTGAGATTCAGAGAAATTATGATAATGAATGTGATTCTCAATAGTGCTGGAAATGAAAACGTGTCTGTACTCGCTTCAGTAAATATTGTACTAAGAAATGTCCAAATGGAAAGTTACTTTTGGTTTGAGTGAATGTGAGCAATTAGCGTTGTTTCAGTCGCTGAATAATTGCGTAATCCCGAAAAGTTTATTGTGGATTGTATTCTTCAGTATACAGTTTTATATGAGAATGAAATTTCATTTTAATTAAGTAACCATTGTGCCAAGATGTTTTACCGATACAATTAAGGATGAAGAAATTGGTGGAGGTACAGGTCGTTATCAAGGCCTAGAACTGTTCCGTACTGCACTCAATCACGCAGGTCTTCTACCGTTGTCAGCGTGTATGAAGGAGAGTGATATGCCAGCTGATAATGCTATCAACTCTCCCCCTCCATTATCACCGTTTGGCTGTTCGGATAACAAGTCATCGGATCATCAAACCGATATTCGTAACCGGAGTGATGATTATGATTCCATTCGTATCTCCAATGATGCACCTTTAAAATATTTTGGTGTTGATTATGATAATACACCGATCAATATTAATAATAATAATATTAATGATGTCAGTCAACCGCAGTTTACTGTTGGTAAGATTGTGCGCTTATTACAATTGTTTTTTTTCTTTTTTGTCATAATAATTATTAAAATCCCTTTGACTAATATTATTATTATCGGTGTCATCTTGTCGGCTGTTCAGTACGCTTCATATGAATAGCTCTGTCAACTTTTTTATAATGCTTTATTTTTGATAAATAATCAATGAGCTTCAGCAGTTGAATGAATTCAAATTCATACGACAGTCAACATTAATGACTGTAATAGTAATAGATGAATTCGTGTTGGGTATTTGCAGGATCGTGTGTAGACGTAGATTATCGGAACGAACGACGTTTCGGCGTTGTGAAATGGATTGGATATCTGAGTGATGTCGATGAACGAAATAACGTTAAATCAGTTGCTGTTGAAATTGTTCGTTCGTTCAATTCCTTTTTAAAATGTCATTTTCCTTTCGCTTCACATTCTGATTGTGGTTTTAACGCTACATATCGTTTACGAAACTACAGAATTCATCTTCTGTCTTTTCGGTATTCTTCACAAAGGGTTGCCATTGCAGTAAAAAATCTATTCTGATTGTGTGCAGAATGTTTCTTGAGTTCCTTTTTGTTGACATTGACATTCTTACCCGTAGTGGTCTCTCCGGATGCCACTCGCCTCATTTTTGCTCCTTCGAAGTTTCAGGAAGGTTCAATACCGAATGGATGGCCATTGGACATTGATTTGGAAAGCTCATTCAACAGTTTAACGAAGATGTACGATCATTCGAGTGGTCCTGTCACAATCGTTCCAATCTCTTCGCTTCAGCCAGACAATCGCTTTGCAACACCGATTGTCAGTGATAATATCAACGACGATAACTGCGATCCGCACTGTAAGTGTTTTGTTGTTGATTCGAAAAGTATTTCTTGTGTTCATTGATATTGCTGAACTTTGAAATATTCATCTTGCGGTAGAAATCAGTATAAATATAAATACACATTAAGTTGTTCCCGTAGTGAGAAATATCGTTGCGATTAGCAACTGTAGTGTTTATCATAGCAATTACTTGGTTTGCTTTTAATGGTTTTCAGCCAGCTACTTATTGTAATCAATTCATTAGAGGCGTAATAATGATTGTTATTATTATTTTCATCATTATTATAGTTACTATTTTCGTCTTACAAAAGAATGTGGTTATCATCTGGAAGAAGGTAAATAACAAAGGCAGTTTAAGTGAATGGTTCGAAATTCGGTACGTTAGACGGTGGAGTTGAGTTGAACCCGTGTCAACCAACACGAAATATTGAAAGTTTAATCGGTCGTATGAAAGGCATTCAAGGATATCGCAATAGTTGTTATTTAGATGCTACACTCTACGCAATGTTTGCTCAGAGTTCTGCGTTTGATAGGTATATCTTCTGTTTTTTTTTGTTGTTGTTGTCGATTCATTGATTGTTTATTTGTGATTCGTGAAAGGCATAAATATGCTTCAGTGACGTTGGTTCCAACTTGTCATTGGAATGTTATGTTCGTTTGATCGTGTTCGTTAAGAGTTTTAATCTTTTGGAATGGCTATTCATTTGCCGAGTTATTTGATGCTTAAAAAAGATGTTCGAGTAAAATTTGCTCAACGTGCAACTATCATTCACGGACATGATGAAATGTTCATTTCTTATTCAGTATTCTGGAATCGAGAGACACCATAACGGATCATTCACGACGGGAATTGGTGCGCATTCTTGCAACTGAAATCGTTTATCCTCTAAGGAAGTCAGTTTTATTTTCATCTTCAGTCGATACGTTTCAACTTTATTTCACTTTTTTACTTTTAGCAGATACTTTACTGATCTTTTGAAATTCAGTTATTTTTCCAACAATAGATAACGCAGAGTTCAAGTTGATTCATTTGAATTGTCAGAAGTTAGTAATGAAAAAACAAGACATTTAAGTTCCAATCGAGAACGATACTCCAAAAAAGCGCTTCACAAAGATGCAGTGATGAAGTTATTTTTACTGTACAAATTTTGTTGTAGGTTTCATTTTGTTCGTGCAGATCACATTTATAAATTGCGGCAGCTGTTAGAAAAACTTTTACCAGAAATGTCCGGATTAACATCGGATGAGAAAGATCCCGAAGAAGTGCTTATCGCTCTATTCGATAAAGTTCTTCAAGTTAAACCGTTTCTACAACTCAGGTTCGTCTGATCACGTTTGTTTTTATCTAACCCATTTGAAGATAAGTGCATCGTTTTTGGAAAACGTTGTTATGAATGCAAATGAATTAGAATATATTGAACTAAATTATTCGTTTTAGAATAAGCTGTAAAGAATAAACTGTAAATAAACTATAAATTTTAGAATAAATTGTAAATTCGTTTTAGAAATTATTGAACTAAAAATTTGAAGGAATATCAACGACGGTAGCACAGATCCAGCGTATATATGCCCGTTGATAACAGAAGATTTGTGGAGTGGTGAGCAACGTCTTCTCATAACCGTTCAGTCCATCGTTGAAAGATCTCTGTTCGCGTCGAACATTCAGTTTGCTAAGGTGTCTACTTAATTGTTCTTCATTTCGTTTTTATTGTTATCATACATCAACACACTGATCGCTCACGTATATCTGATTGCACATAAAAATGGCGATGTGCTCAGTGCTGACATTTTCAACAACCATATGCAACGATGAATTCTTTGGCCAAGGTTATAATGACTGAAATTAAGGATCCAAAAGTGTTGATTCTACAATTGCCACGTTATGGACGACAAAAAGTATTCGATAAGATAATTCCGCAGCAAGAGCTTGATATCACACATCTCGTATTTGATTGTATGTAATCAAGTATTGTTTTCTGATTACACTCATTACATTGCATAGTATAAATCTATAAGGAGTACTTATTTAGTCATTCAAATTATGTGATCTCTTATGTGAAATTTCTCAGTTTTATTCATTAAAAGGAAATTGCCTCATCGAAATGTCTATCAACCAACGATCAGCGTCCATTAATGCTTTTTTNAACGCTTTTCATTTGTTTTCCTAAGGTCTCTTCCGTATGAATTTAATTGGGAGGAATACAAGAAGAAAACAAATTTGTTTGGATTTAATAGAAGAAAAAATATTATGATCAATAAGCGTTACGTTGGAAGTGAACGTGAAGGAATAATATGATTCAGTCGATTCATATTTTAGTGTTAAAACGAAGTGTGAGTTGTGAAAATGGAATAATGAAATAATGGAATTGCAGGTGACATATTGTGCAATATGTTACGAAAAAGCGCACCTTGGATACGATCATCAACCTCAGCCAATCAAAAGATCGAGCAGTTACAATAGCAATGCGAATCGCTCGTCTCAAAACCCGAACGCAGATCAACGTCATGCCACATTAACATCGTCAATAACCTCCACCCTCACTTCGTCACTAACAACTCGACGTTCATCAATTATACCATCACGTAAATTACAACTTTCTGCAGTTTTATGTATCGAAATGTCACATTATGTCACTTTTATTCGAACAAACACATTGAACAAATGGTTGATGTTTGATTCAATGGCCGATCGAGTTGGTCTTTCCGATGGTTACAACGTCCCTGAAGTTTGTTTTTTTTAATCATTTTTATTTTTCTATTTATGATGTCGGTTACGGGGAGACGAAGTTGTCAAAATAGTTTATTTTATACAAAAACGAATTATATGATCATATTTCATTGATTAATTTTTTGAAATGGAACAAATATTCTAAATGGTCGATTGAAAGTTTTTTCACGAAATCATCGTTCGCTTTGTTTTCTTGTCTATTTTGTGATAGCAAAAGACGAAAATTCATCGTTCACTGAGATAGAATTTAGATGCATCAAATAGTGAATGTTTTGCAAATGAGAATGTGAAAAGACGTTGTGCTTAAGGTGAAACAATGTAATAAAATGTCGCAGTGGTTGAGTGAATCAGGTATTGCAAAGATACGTTCGAGTCTTGAGAAGGATAGTCGTTTGCCAACAGAAGTGGAATCGGACATGCAAATGAATAGATTCATCTCTGATTGCTACGTTTGCATTTACACTTACGATGAACAGCAACAACAGTCCGATAAGAAAATTGATCCGATGGCATTGGCTGCACGTCTGTTCGCAAAGAATCAGTTTGATGCATAATTGTACTCGTAGTGCTTTTGTGTAGTGCATATCTGGTTTTGTTTTGAGAGAAGTGGAATGTGATCGTTATTGTTTTTGTCAGCTGATTGGACACACTCCTAGATTTTGTGGTCATTTTATTTCTAGTTTCGTAAGTGCGCTTTGTGGGTGGAGAAATTCGCTGAGTTGTTCTGAATGAAGAATGTTAATATAAACGGTGAATAATTGATTTTGTCAGTATATAAATATGCAAACTGCTGAATTACAGCTGAATGAGATTTGAACGAATGATTATTGTGAATGTGTTTTTGACGAGAAATTATTTCAAAAGTTCTCTTCAATTGATAATTGCGAGTGGTTGACTTGTGTTCAGTTGAATTTCCATTTCTTTCATTCAACTAATTTTTTGAAATTCACATCCGATCATATTTTTGCTTGTCTTTTTGATTTCACAATGTCTATTTGTTTTTTTAAAAAGTATTTATGATTGTCCGCCAAGCTGAGTTTTTTCTAAAACTGCATAACGATTCGCTTATATCCGATGAGAATTGGTACTAGTGACTGGTGTGTTTATTGTGGAATTATAAATGTTGTATTTCCATAATCGTTTAATTGTATTCTGCTAACCGCTCCCATTCTCTCTAACGTCCTTATGCTTGAAGCATATCACCTTCTGCTGAAAGCTCAGAAGTTTCTTATGGATTCTTGTGATGAAGGGCTGGGCTCTTCTTCTGTGTTGAATTCCCACTTTAACAGCAGCTAACTTATTTGTTGAATTTCACGTTCACTCATATTCTTGCTTCTGCAGCTAATCTTTGGAGTATTTAGAATTTATTCTTAATATCGCGTTGTTTTTAGAATCCATAATCTTTCATGTGTGAACATCAACATTACTGCAATACCAGATCGCACTTCTTTTTTGAGTGTTATTCGGTGAAAATGACGACGTCTTTCTGCAGATTTAACATTAGTATAATTTCCTTTCGATTCTGTACTGTATAATGTCCATTGATAGTGCTGTTGTTGCGTGTATGATTTTTGTGTAGTGCTTTGTGATGTTTTGTCGTTTTTTTTGTCCGTTTCAGATTTTTATTTTTTAAAATTGATAACATTTTGCTCTTGTTTATTTCATTTCCGATGCTTGTCTTCTTTTTCGCACCTCATTTCACTCCATTTTCTGTTGTTCTTGTGTTGTTCTTTGTGTTTATTTATTTGCTCGTCCATTCTTGTTAGTATTTCGATAGATGTGTTTCTATCAATGGAATAGAACAAAGATTTTTGCAGTTGATCTTTCTGATCGTCTGATCGGCTTATCTGTGATCGTGCTGTCCTCATTCATATGCCCAGTCTGAAATTCTAACAAATTTTGTTTTGAATACGGCTAAAGTATTACTTTTTATCCTCCTTTGTGCTACGTTCAGGCAGTGGTATCTCGTCAGCAAACTGTATTGATGCGTACCCTTCAAGATATTACGTGAATTATTAACAATAGTTCGTCTTTAATGTACGCAATTTTCGGTTTGTTCATTCAACAACGAATGCACAAAACCCTATGAAATTCTCGTTTATCTGCTTCGGCTCTTATAATATAACTCATAGTTTTTTGTTTGTGTTCTCTTTGAAAGTGACTCTGACATATTGCTGCTTACCAGAAATATCGCTTTCGGTTGTTGTGTTGTATGATTAATTGATATTTTATCATATGATTCTGTATATGTGTAAGCAACCGGTTGATATGCTTATTAAAAATTGTTTATTGCTTCTGCCTATTCACTCAAAACAGACATTCATTTAGAGTACACTAAACGAAACTGTTTTCAAGTGATTACAGCGTTTGCACTGAAACAACATTGAACATAAACTGTTAACGTGTAATTTCGCTTTCACTACACACCAATAATTCAAAGAAGTGCTCTTATTCGTTCAANCAGCAGTTAACATGTCTGCGCTGCCCTGTTATCACCAATCGATATCAAAGGAGCAACATGAGATGATCAAGCAGGAATGTAGTTGGGTGTGCCTTACGAAGAATGATTGAGAATATTTATTGTCAAAACATAGTTTCATACAACAAAATACAGAGTGATATCGTTAAAAAATCTGTTCCTTGAGACAACGACGAACAAAAGCAATACGAGTAGGGATAAGTGTGCGAATGAATCGAATCAAAACTTGAACTGGTATCAACATAGAACAGTAGCAATCTACGGGGATTATTAGTGTGAGTGAAAAATACAGAGTGGTCACCAACTGCCACTTGTTCAGGCTCTTGCTAGCTTCTCGATTGCTACTGTCCTCAAAGTGAAGAACATCGATGATAATTTGTAATTTAAACAACAAAACAAATAATATTTGCTTATCTTAAATAAACGGGAGATGTTAATGATATTAATCAGAAATGTATTGACTTCCTCGTAAAGGAGCACCAATATGACCTAGCTCCAGCAAAACATCGCCCTGACAAAACAACGTACGAAAAAACTCAACGTCCTAACAAAAAGATATTCCTGCAGAATGCTCTCAACCCCACTACCGACAAAAAAAACAAAATTTGAGTAGAACGGTCGTTAAAGTAGGCAAATAAAGTGGAATCTGTGCACGTGTAGAACATATTCATTAAAAAACTGAAATCAACAAAAAGAAAACAATCAACTGATCAGAGCAAGATTACATAGTGATATATTACAGAGTATATGATCGATAGGTGATCATATGAGGTATGCACGGCAATAGTTTCATAGTAAGTTAGAGATTCGGAAACTATTTTAGCAATGAATTCCATAGAATTGATCTGTTGAAACTTAGACAAGGAACTTCATTTGCATCGTGTATCATATCGCAATGTAGAACAATAACAAAAAACAACTGCTTGATTGCAACAAATTCAGAATAAATTCAATTACGAGCGCATGTATTCCACTGAATATGGTCTTCATAAAATTTAATAACTAATTGTGGACATTTTTCATTCGCCAATTTTGCTGGTACCAAGTCAGCTTCTTCACAACCCTTCCACTTTATCAGCATTGTCAGTTCACCGTTTGTATTTGTCGCACCAATGATGCGCTCCGGTTCCAATCCTAAAATTTGTCGTTTCATTTCACAAAAATTATTGATGCCATTTACTGACCCATTAAGGTTAACAAATTGTGAACGAACAACAAATTTGGTTACTCCTTTACTAAACGTAATGAAGCTCTAAAATGAATACAGCTGAAAATTCTCGAAAAACCAAGATGTGCAAAAAGCAACAAAACAACGTCTGTGTCCATTAAACACACGGCTGGGCACTATCACTTGCTCTCACTTTCTATTTTTCGTCTCCGGCCCTTTTCACCTCATTTAATTTATAACACAATCATGCAAACAACGTCTTAACGAAACAAAAAATGCTGATTTTGACAATGAATACATGATTCTGTTCAAGTTCAGCTTCAGCCAACTGATTGTGAGATATCAGTTTAAGTCTGGGCACTATCACTTGATGTTTTCAATAACAGCATTTGATGAAGATAACGACGGAATAGGAGAACGGCCAAAGGTATACTACACGTTCGCAGAAAAATTATGAGTAATAAAGCAATAACAGAAACCTACCACGATCAAAACCCCGACAAGCATCAGTATTCGAACGTGTCTTTTTATCGTCACCAGACCTTTTCTCTTGTGATTCGAACGCCTTACAATCATAATATTCATGATTAATAACGAGAATATCAAAATAAACCAAAAAAACAAACAAATGTTTCAGGGAATGCAGATAATTATCAATTCAAATGAACATTAATTCGTGTTTTAAAAAATAACCTGGATTAGATCTGGACAGTCCAAATTATCCTCCGGTTCCCAAGTGTTCTCAGACGGTGGAAATCCCTTCCAACTCAAGAAGTATTCCACAACACCATTTCGAATCCGTTTATCAATTATTTTCTCCACAATGAACTCCTCATTCTAAAATTAATCCACTGATTATACGCCTCTACGTAGAACAAATGTGGTCGATCCCTCGAATAAACCAAATTTGAAATGAAACTTAAAGAGTATGGAATATTTTTACTTCAACTTCGTATCACCACAAAGCGCCTATCCATCGAGTATAATACTGACGACAGATAAACTCCTTATGAATAGAGAGTGAGATAAGGAGAAGAAAGGATAATGAAAATAGTTGCAACAACAACAATGAGGAAACCTCAGATTCTTTCTTATGACGTGATCGTTTCGAAGAGCTCATTGTGAAGATATTGTTTGTGTAGCTGGATATAGCCCTGAAGATTTATGTCGAATAACCTAAACAGCAGGATTACCAGTAGCTGAACACCGATGTACTCACGATTACAAACTAATATATTAGCACTCTAAAAAACGTTGATCGCAAAAGTTGCAACTCGTTGCTTTCTGCTCCACTCTCTGACAATTTGACGATTTGTTCGTGCATGCGAACCTAACAAGTAAACCTAACATCGTAAGAAAACAGCGCAACTGAAGCAAATGAAAACGATCGCATCAACAAGCAGAACATGCATATCTGCTATCAGATCGACATCAAAATGCGCGATGTGGGATATCATGAACTGGAATTATCCCGGTACGGGTATCTGGGTCCACAACAATTCGGTCCGAGATAAGCTGCCACTCCGACAATTTGCGCATGCCTCATCGTTCTTGTCGTAGTTCAGACTTATCGCGCATGTATTTGTCAGCCACCCGGACGTGGATCTGGACCGATGAAAGCAAACTGCATCAAAATTCGTCCTCAGTTTGAATATTTTGTAGAACTGTTTTCAGTCCGCACCTCTCCAGAATGTTTGTGTTTATCCAGAAGTGGTGGTGTGCATTGTTATAATAATGTAAGANGATAATTAGATGATAGATACAAGCCAAATCATAGCCTGGCTCAGGCTCACAACATCAATAACACTGGGACTTGGTTTCGAACAAAACTTTCCTCCGCGATTAAAACATTCATATTCCAAAGACACAACGAGAGAGATGCGGCGGTCGAAATGAGCACATTGGTCAGAGGTCAAATTACGGGGCATCGCCTATCCGTCTTTTCTTTCTTAAAGGAATACTGCCATTCCCGATAAGATGAAAGCGTGCCTGTCAGAGTTGACCTCATTGCATTGAATATCGAGAGATAAACAGCAAAGATATGGGTAGTCCAAGAATGTGTTAAAATGTAATACTCATTCGACAGAACTTTCTTTGCATGGCGCTTTTTCTTATTTGTTATGTACTTAAGACGCAATTGGGTAAGATGTCGGATTCTCATCTACAAATCGGCCACATTGTTTTGGAATATTTCTTGTCAAATTAGTCAAAATCAAAAAACTGTTTCGAATCGCTCGTTTATTTTTATGATTATTATATACACGGCTCCCTCTGACTCTCTCACTTTTTTGCAAATCATACCGATCATAAATGCATTTAGGTTTTCCTCACTCACTTGTATCTATTATTTCGGCATTCATTTCTAAGATGTTTGAGGTCTTTCGGTTTTTTTTTTNGTTCAAGAGTGAGACAATTGTCTAAATTAGAGTCCGTTCCGACAATATGGAGGTATTTTTGATGTTTTGTTGTGCATGAGTGCCTTTATTCGTTGTATTTGATGACACCATATTTATGTGACGCAATCGGATTTGATGAGTGACTGGAGTGAATTTAGTTGGGCTTATGATTAAGATTGCAATTGACGAACGATCGAAATAGAGCGATGGTTATGAATGAGGATGAGAATTTCTCAGCACCTGCATTGCCGTCCACGCCTATTTCAATCACCACAAACGACCTCGACCGGTCAGTATTCTTTATTTCATTTTGTCATTTGCTCTTTTCCGTAGTATTTTTGAATTGTTGACTTCAGTTTGATTGATTCTACTGACAGGGAATCCTCGAATAACTTCCATTCAGTTAACTAGTTAAAAGCATATTAACCACATCGGTTCATCGTCATTTCGATTTGTCGATTCCAAAGCTGTCCTTTAAAGAGAGTCATCAAAGAAGACTTATGATTTTCCTTTCAACGACCATTTTTGGCTTTGGCATAGAATATTAAAGAGCACCATTATCCAACTTGTTTTCATAGTGAACGTTCGAGACGAGTCTCGATACAGATCGGTATCATTCCATATTTTGCGATTCTTTTCCATAAGTATTCATGGTTGGATGAATAATTTTGCCAATTTATCGTTGTTTTGGTCTTCTCAGGGGACGTCTGTATTCTTATGGGAGCCATTCTTGTTGTCCAAATGTTACCTTCCATGCGAGCAGTGTGGTCGACACATCTATGTCAATGCTTTGAGCTAAGGATAATAAGAACCGTGTTAATTTTAATCTTTCGTGTAGACAAATCGAAACGTTGATGAGATGTGAGTGTATCCCGGAACAAGAAGTGAAAGCGTTGTGTGCGAAGGCACGTGAAATACTTCTGCAAGAAGGAAACGTACAAGTGGTTGATTCGCCCGTTACGGTGTGTTTTTGGATGACTTTGTTGCGTGTTCATATCAACTTTACATTTACATTTAAATAGTAAACTAAATTTGATGGTTGATTAGAGGAAATGAATCAGCTTTGAAGTTATTGATAAGCGGCTAGAATGGTTTAGAAACGAGTTGAATTTATTTCATATGGGATATTTGTTGATTGTAAATGAATTGAAGATTTGCGGGGATATTCATGGACAGTTTTATGATTTGATGGAGTTGTTCAAAGTTGGTGGAGAGGTTCCTGATACGAATTATTTGTTCCTCGGTGATTTTGTTGATAGAGGCTTTTATTCGGTTGAAGTGAGTTTTCATTGTTTGTTCGTTCCGTGATAAACTTTGTTTCGTAATCAGCAAATTTCATGAACCGTATTATATTTATTCCGAAATTTCAGGTGAGTTTTTGCTAAGAATAAAATTTCAATAAATTTTCAAGTGAAATTTAGTGGGATAAAATTCTTATTCACTGCAGTAAAATACCATAAGTGAAGAGAGAAATAAATAAGTGAATAATTGCAGACATTTCTGTTATTGTTGGCGCTGAAGGTGAGGTATCCGGATAGAATGATGCTCATCAGAGGTAATCACGAATCGCGTCAAATAACACAAGTTTACGGCTTTTACGATGAATGCTTGCGCAAGTACGGCTCATCCTCTGTCTGGAGGTATTCATTTAGTTGTTATTGTCATTGTTCATATGGTTTCTACTGCATTTAATAACGCTAATTTGTTATCCACTGCATCGGATGTGTTTACCAGTTCAATGGTTCAGATGTATTCAATTGCAGATGTTGTACGGAGGTATTCGACTGCCTCAGTTTATCGGCCGTAATTGCCGGTAAAGTATTTTGTGTGCACGGCGGTTTATCGCCGAGTATACAAACCTTAGATCAGATACGAACCATCGATAGAAAACAAGAAGTTCGTCGTAATTCTGCTTCTTTTCAATCTTTCCTTATTACCAAAAGTCTATGCTCAATCACTCTTGCCAATCAGTCGAATTTTTTATGAATGTTTAGTTCCAATTTTGATCATGTAATCCAGTATTCGTTCTCATTTTCGAATGATATTCGTTGATAGACAGTAATATTAATACAATAAATTCATGTGGAAGATATAATGAAGTAAGTTGTTTTGTTCAAGGTTCCTCATGACGGCCCGATGTGTGATCTGTTGTGGTCAGATCCTGAGGATAGTATGGGATGGGGAGTGAGTCCACGTGGTGCGGGATATTTATTCGGCTCGGATGTCGTGAAGGTAATCAATCTTTCGAGAGCCGTTTCCTCAAAATTGTCATTGTTATTTAATGAAAGTGCTGATATTGTTTGAAAATAAACAACGAGTGAATGAATTTGAAGGCGTTTTGTCAAACAAACGGTGTAGAATTGATATGTCGTGCACATCAGTTGGTCATGGAAGGTTATAAATGGCATTTCGGTGAGACCGTATTGACGGTTTGGTCTGCACCGAATTATTGTTATAGGTAAGTTTTTTTTTTTCAAAATTACATTTTTAAGAAACTTTATCACTTGCTCATTACTTATATTACTTGAAGATGTGGAAATGTAGCAGCAATACTGGAATTAGATGAACAATTAAATAAGGACTTCACAATATTTGAAGCAGCACCTCAGGTTCTGTTTTTTTCATATTATCAGTGCTTTTGTTGTATTTTCATACGAATCATATAGTAACATTCGTATTGAAATTGAATTTGTTTTGCTTGATCTTGAGAAACTTTTCGTGGAAATAGATTCGAAGTATTTTGGGTGTGTGTGAATGAAATCAGTAAATTTTTGAAGGAGAATCGTGGAGCACCGGCGAAGAAACCTCAACCGGATTATTTCTTATGAGATCGATAATGCGTATTGTGAATAGTAATGTAATATCTCAGCTTGAGTGACAACGATTGTATTTCTGTATATGAGTTGATGTGTAGATCTGAACGATTGGTTGATACGACCTTCTGATTATGCCTTTTGTTGTATTTTGTGAACATTTCATGTTTCGCATACTTCATCTTTTATTGTTGTTATCGTTATTATTATCGCTGCATATTGTAATCTTCATCCATAATAAATATTTCGCTTTTGTATATCAGTTCGAAAACTTTCATCTTAGTTGATTTAATCACGTTTAATTGAATTTCTTCATGACATTTGCAAATTCTATTTGCTGATCTTATTACAATTAACATTGATTGTTTTTGAACACGGGATGCTTTATTTCGATTTTTGTGCGTTTTGATTTGCTGAGTGATCAAATAAAAGAATGATTCTGCAACGACTAACTCCCAAGTGTTATAATATTCAGTCGATCATTTAATGTCGTCTCAATATTTGATAAGCAAGTGAATGAGATCATAAGATCATAGCGAAATCGTAAGTGATAACAAATGCGTTGTGTCGTAAATTGAAGACGCCGTTGTTGTTCATGCGCGACCAATTCAAATCAGCCACTGATTTGTTACAAAGCAAACTGAAACTAATCGAAATGGGAATATTTT